TAGCGGTAGAAATCAAATTTTTCCTCGATTTCAAATTACTTTGTTTAATACTTTCTGTATGTTGAATTTTGATGAATCTTTTGCATCTAACGCAATTTTTATGATCCAAGAATTTAATACCGCTGAAATACGAATGTGTATTATGTCATTTCTCCAAAGCGAGAAATCATTAATTCGAAAATAAAAGAAAAAGTGCCTGAATAAAAAATTTTCTCCTATTGTAACGAATTGGCCGTCAAGAAGATGTAATTATTCTTTCTCGGCGGACGGGACGGTACCGTTCACTCTATATAAGTGCTGCGTTTAGTCTATCGATAGTATGTATGAAGACAATATGTGGAATAAGAGATTTCAATAATTCCATAGACGAGAAAACGAAGCAGAAGTAAATCGAACGTTTACATTTCTACTATTTTCTCTTTATAATGAATTATTATTATTTTTCGAATACATAATATCAGTTGATATCATTATCATATTGATGGAGCAGATGTTTCATCGTAATTGAACGGCAGCATTTTTAAATAGATGTTCCACAACATGAAAAGTGTCCCACATCCTGGTTGTAGAATGTACATTCATGTTAGGATTTCCTTCATATACAAAAAAAGGGTTGCTAATTAACTTTGAAGAAGAGAGAATATTAAAAAAATTATTGATTAAAAAGTGACCAACGAATTGAACAAAACAGAAAAAGCATAATCAGACACAGATGACGGTTGCAAATGGACTAGTATTGTTTAGATGTCAACTATTGTCATTTACTGTAGCCATCTACACCGATCATTACTTTTCTTTTTCATTCTTTTTAGTAAGTTGGCTGTTTTAATAAATAATATATTTTGTCTGCTTTCGGTTATATTCAAAATAAAAAAGCAGCAAATTTTGTTCGTGTTTTGATGTTTATAACTAAAATACTTTGTTTTTAGGAAACATCAACTACATCTGTAGCATCAAATACACCTGAAATATCAAATAGACCTGAAGTGCCAAATACACCTGAAGTATCAAATACACCTGAAGTACCAAATACACCTGAAATATCAAATACATCTGAAGTACCAAATACACCTCAAATATCAAATACACCTGTAGCATCGAATACAACAATAGCATCAACGACACCTATGGCATCAAATACAACTGCAGGAGCAACCACAGAGTGTTCATTACAACAAATACAAAATTACTTATTAAAAGTTGTCGATCAAAATAAAGAAATATATGAT